GCTCTGCAGATATTACACAGGTTTCTCTTTCATTTTCTTAAAATGATCCCACACCTGTTGTCAGGTAGCCATGATACCAGAGCCTGTCTGTATAATGTCTTGTGACGTCCACGGCCTACCCCAGTTACCACTACTGTGCATGTGTGTCAAGGACAGAAAGGCAGATGTGGCAGTGGAAGGTGTCAAAGCAGTTTGGAGAGAAAAACAAAGTAACGAACAAACAATAAAAAAAAGAAAACTATTAATCGATTATTAAATTAGTCATCGATTATTTTAATAATCGATTAGTCGTCGACTAATCGACTAATCGTGGCAGCACTAGCGGGGACCGGGCTTTGGTCACTACAAGGAGCATCCGGTCCCCACGAGGCTGCATTTTCCTAAAAAATCATCCCCACCAAGTAGCAAAAACAAGAGCACACACACACATTCTTGTATTTGCATCAAACTGAGGATATTGTATTGACTTCCATTCATTTTTGTAACTGTATTTATACCTAAACTAGACATTTTCCCTAAAATTAACCATTACCTCTGTCATTGTGCCCCAGGGCAGCCACAGCTGCCCTGGGGCACAATGACAGAGGTAATGGTGCCCCAGGGCAGCTGTGGCTACAATGTAGCTTACCATCATCAGTGTGTGAATGGGTGAATGTCTGTAAATGTAAAGCGCTTTGGGGTCCGGAGGGACTTGACTAACCTGAACCAAAACCTAATTCACACCAAACCTCTAAACCTAACTAGTAAAGCACAGCAGAGCTGCAAACAAAGTGAGGACATTGAAGAGGTCCTCACTTTGCATCAAATACCTCACTTTGATAGTAACTATGGGGCAAATGGTCCTCACTCTGTAGTAAAAACAAACGCACTCAGGCTTTTTGTTGAGCTGGAGGGGAAAACTCACATGGATCAGAGTGTGACCAGAGATGTGTGTGATTTACACAACAAGCAGCTGTTTCTGTGAAGAAACTTAATCTGCGCTCAGTAATCCAGACGGATTTTATTGTTGCTGCACGGAGACTGAACCAGGTGTGTTCAGAAAAAAATAAAAATTTAAATAAAATAAAATAAATTTGTAGATTTATGTCTGCAGAGTCCAAATGTGAAGCTTCAGCATCATTTTTATTGAACGAGAAACACTTTGATCTGTGTGAAAAAAACAAAC